AGTTCGGGTGGAGGAGAGGAGGATGGGGGGAGGGGCTGGTGGCCAGATCTGGTCTGAGAAGAGAGTAAGGGATGGAGTTTTGGGGAAGGGTTTTTTGAACGGAGGGACTAGATTAATTTGAGGGATGTTAAACGGACGGTCCAGATTACGCATCCTTAGATGCAACCTAAGGAGGCTCCTTAGGAGGAGGCCGGGGGGCGGCAGTTGTGTGGTTGAATCGTGATCTTAGGGTTGATGACCACTTGGGGTTTGTTGATGCAGTCAAAGAGAATCAAGTAGTCGTGCCCGTTTATGTCTTCGATCGTCAGATTCTATCAAGTTAGTGTTTTTCCTTTTTTCGCATTTAAGTGATGATTTTCTGTGGTTTTCCTTTTTTAACAAATATTGTGGAACTTGGAAGGAACTTTAAATGTTTAATGTGCTAATGTCCTTTGTAATGCAAGGCTGGATAAATAATAATTCAGAATTATTCCTTTTAACACCTTATGTGCAGTCTGGAGATATGGGAATTTTCTGTAAAGGTCAATTCTGAGAGTTTTCACCTTTTATGCAGTCTTAAGTTTAACCTACGATTTTGATGTTATGGTGCCCACTCGTGGCTCAGCTTAAAGATTTTACGCACAAGTTGTTACTTATCCTTTTCTCATATAAACTCTCTTTTCTTTCTTTCTTTTTGTTGACTGAAGAGATGGTCATTAATAACCAAAGTGGAGGGTATGCATTTGTGTAACTGGCCCACAATTTTGGGATAATGGCTTCATCGTTTTGTAAGAACAACCAAGCCATCTGATATTGCGACCTTAGTTTCCTGTACAAGCTATATTCTAGAGTGCCAAATGAGGTGTTGATTTGGAATTTATTGCAACTAATGCCGTGAAGCTTGATGCACATTAGCATACATAAAATATTCAGAATGAGTAACTAGTAAATATTTATTTGGACCACACTAGGTAGTCAATCAATAGTGACTGCAAAATGTTAACTCTAGCTGAAATCAAATTGTACTATTTTAATGGATTTTAATTTATTTTAGGAAAAAGGTATGCCCAACCTTATGACCGCAAATAGGATACTGGAGTAGTTGATGCTGTTTCCACATAAGAGCAGTGGTGAAAATTTTCTATTCTCAGTATACAGACCACCACCTTTGACTAGTGGTCACATATATTCTTTTTCAAAATCATCAAGATTCTAGATTTTTCTCTTGCAGTATCTTCTTGATCCTCAGCCTTTTAGTTCAAGTTTTGTCAATTCTTTCTGTCAAATTTATTATCCCTGATTCTATGAACTGATTGTATGAGAGTTTTGGAACTTTGCACATTTACGCCTATCACAAATTTTCAATCAATTTTGAATCTGATTGCCACGTCGAGAGCACACTGTTAAGTTTAGTTTTTCAGAAAATGGTAGGAGCAGAAAGTGAAAAAAATATGATAAGAATTGGTGCAATTATAAGAAGGTAATTGTAGTTTTATTAAGGATAAGATGTGAGACAACCATCTAAATTGATTTTTACATGTATACTGGAGAGCAAAATGTGCATGTGTTGCTAGGAGTAACAGAATGTTAGTTGAAGGTGAGATTCAGACTTAGGAATTTCCCAACTGGACATGGATTAAGGCAACAAGTTGTGCAGAATTGTTAACATAACATGGTCCATAAGTGAGCTAAGTGGAGAAAACAAAGTCATGTAGCCAAACTGAAAATTTGGGATGAAGGCTCTTTTGTAATTGAGATAGACATATTCATGACCCACATTATATATCATCACATCTATAACAACAGTTCACGTATCATTCTCACTTCCCTTTTGCTCTTCAACATCACAAATAGGAAGCAGTAGGCAGTAGGTAAGATAAAAGTCAGAATCACGGTCAGTGTTTTAAATATCGGCGATTTATCGGGATTTATCGGCGATTTATCGGAATTTTCAGGTTGCTGTTAGGATAACAGGAAATTGTAATTGGTTAGCAATTTTGACCAATTATCGGCGATTTATCGCTGATAACCGCTAATAGCGCCCGATAACTTTCATTTTTTTGTCGGGTTTATCGGGTTTGTGAGTGAATTAGGTTGCTGAGATATTAAACCCACCCGACCCGTTTTCACAATAAAACGAAAGCTCGAAGTCTCAAACCTGATTCCAGACCTTCAAGCCCTAATCTCTGGCGGCTGTGCTCTTCGCCTCTTCGTCCCGACAAAGCTCGTCGTCGCCTCTTCGTCGTCGCCTTTTTCTCCAGCAAATCTTCATCGCCTCGTCGTCGTGACGAAGCTCTTCGTCGCCTCGTCGTCCTCGCCTCTTCATCGCCTCGTCGTCGACGACGAAGCTCTCCAGCAAATCTTCGTCGTCGCCTCTTCATCCTCGCCTTTTCGTCGCCTTGACTTCGACTTCGTGCTCTCGCCTCGACTTCGACTTCGACTTCGTGCTCTCGCCTCGACTTCGTGAAGCTCCAGCGAACGTCGCCTCGGATTCGTGAAGCTCCAGCGAACGTCGCCTCGAACAGGTATCATTCATCTCCTCACCTTCGAAGTTCGTTTTTTTCCTCTTCTAGCCTTTGTCTCTTCGTCTCTGTTGCTGTTTTGTTTTCTATTTTTTTAAGTTGATTTTTGTTGTTCTTTGAACAGATTATCTACTTTCTCTTCTAGCCTCGTCTTTGACTTCACTTGTGAGACTTGTTGTGAAGAAATTCCGTGAATTATCTACTCAAACAGGTATCTTTTTTTTTAATCTTATAAAATTTCTGTTGTGAGACTGTATTATAAAATTTAATTGTAATTACAATTAATTTTGAGCAATTAGTTTTTACTTTAGCAATTAATTTTGAGTATTGTTGTGAGACTTATTCACAACACTTGTTTGTTGTTTATAGAATATTTAATTTTAAGAAAATACTTGTGAGTTGTGAGACTGTATAAGAAAATTTAGTTGTAATTACAATTAATTTACAACTTAAAAAAATATACAACTTGGATCTGCAAATAGTTTACAATTGTTATTTTAAGTTGTCTTCCTCGGTTGCTTACTTCATTCCTTAAAATCTTGATGTCATTTTGATCTCAAGTCTGCAACAAAATAGAACAAGTTAGTGTTAGGCATAAAGTTTTATGACGTGGTGAAATAAATAAAATAAATATACAATTGTGTAATTGTGTTGCTATTTTATTTTCAAACTTGTGTTCATGGTTCACTTTCTCATGTTGACAGGAGAATGTCTTTTGAGGGCCAAGCATCTAATAAACCACCAAAGCCAGCCGATAAAGATTCTTGTTGGGCATATGCTGAGCGGGTTGGTAATGATGCTTTAAAGGTTCGGTGCAAGTTTTGTGGGCAGTCTATGTGTGGAGGCATAAGCCGGTTCAAACAACACTTGGCTGGAATCAAAGGGAACTGTTTGCCGTGTGAGAAGGTCCCTGAAGATGTGAAGAAAAAAGTAAATGAAATCATTGATAGTGCTAAGAAGAATAAGGGTGCAAAGGAGTTGAAAATGCAGAATTTACTCGATGATGTTCATATAGGGGAGGAAGAGGGATATGAAGGGAGTGTGACCGCATCTACTCAGAGTCAGAGAAGCTCATCATCCTCCTCCTTCAAGACGAAAGGGCCAATGGACGCTTTTGCGAGCCGCTCTCATGAGGAGTCGGCTGAACTAGTATTAAAAATGAAACAACCAGTGATGGACAACAAGTATAGGAAGAAGGCAAGAGATGATGTGAACAGGTACATTGGGAGATGGTTCTATGAAGCCGGCATCCCTTTTAATACCGCAAGTATTCCTTCTTTCATACAAATGGTGCAGGCTATTGGAAAGTTTGGGGTCTTCTTGGATGCTCCGACACCATATGAATTGAGGGAGACTATTCTGCAGAGAGAGGTGGATGAGACAAGGGAGATCATTGAAAAATTTAAGAAGAGTTGCGCACTTAACGGGTGCTCCATACTGACCGATGCTTGGAGTGATCGAAAGATGAGAAGTATTATGAATATAGTTGTGCATTCAGATGGAGGAACAGCATTTTTGGGTTCATGTGATGCATCGGGCGACAAGCATGATGCAAATTATATATGCAACTATGTGGAGAAAGCAATTGAAGAGTTGGGGGCACAGAATGTTGTGCAAATTGTCACAGATGGAGCTTCAAATAACATGGCAGCCGCAAAAAGCTTAGCAATTAAGAAGCCAAATATATTTTGGACAACTTGTGCGGCACACACTATTAATTTGATGTTAGCCGATATAGCCAAAATAAGACCTATTCGGAGTGCAATTGCAATGGGAAGAACTGTGTCGGTGTACATTTATAGCCACACGAGATCTCTTCATGTGATGAGAGAATTTGCACGTGGGGACCTTGTTAGACCCGGGGTGACACGATTTGCCACAGCTTTCCTTGCTTTGGAATCATTGAGAGATAAAAAGAAAGTGTTGAAGCAAATGTTTGTCTCTAATGAATGGATGGAATGCGAGCTTTCAACAAAAGAAGCGGGGAAAAAGGTACAATATAATTTAAAAGTTAAAGTTTGTAACTAATAACTAAAAATATTCATTTGCTTTAGAATATATAATTCTATTGTATTACTGATTATTATGATTTTTGACTATTTGTAGGTTACTGAGATTATTCATAGCAACAAGTTTTGGGACAACGTTGATCTTGCCCTTAGAGTTTTTTCTCCTTTGGTGAAGGTTCTAAGGAGAGTAGATGGTGATAAAATCCCCTCAATGGGGTTTGTGTATGGAGACATGATGAAGGCTAAGGAGGAGATCAAAGAGGCCTTTCAGGATGAAGAGAAGAAATATCTTCTTATAGAGAAGATTATTGATAAGAGATTTGATGCCAAGCTTAAAGAACCACTCCATAAAGCAGGATATTATTTAAATCCTTATTTCTACTATCCAAATCTTATGGAGATTGAAAGAGATGGAAGTTTCTTGAGTTGCCTTGTTGATTGTATGAACAAATTCTATCCAGATGATGGTGACATGCTTGGCAACATTGGAGACCAACTCTCTGATTATCAGCATCAAAGAGGATCATTCGGGAGAGAACTTGCAAAGAGAGAAGCAAAAAAGCCTAATAATAATCCGGGTATATTTTCATTTTTCATTCAAATTAATTTGGTGATTTGACTAATTCTTGTTTGAATGTTACAAGTTACTAATTGTTTGCAACTATGACTTAACTAGTTATATGGTGGAAACTTTTTGGCACTGACGCTTCGGAGTTGAGGATGATGGCAATGAGAATTTTGAGCTTAACAACTAGCTCTTCAGCATGTGAGAGGAATTGGAGCACCTTCGAGATGATAATGGCTCTTTTTAACTTTAAATCATATTGGATGACATTTGAGACTAATTTGTCCTTTGTGATTCTAATTTGTAGATTCATACAAAAAAGAGAAATAGACTAACGCATCGGAAATTGCATGATTTGGTCTACGTCAAGTTCAATGCAAGATTGAAGAATAAGCATTCCAACAAGGATAGAGATCCTTTAATAGCCTTTGATGATGAAGAAAGGTCCTCCGAGTACATTAGCTAAATGTACTCGGATATCTGTACAAGATGCCCGTCTATGCCCTCTTGGTGACATGAACACATTTAGCTAATGTACTAGAATAACGTCCAAAAAACACCAAATTTATACTTTTAACTTCATCTGCTTATTTGAGATATTTGGAGGGAACATCGAGGGATGATTGGCGGGAGTATGTAATTACTTTGTTATACAAGTTCTCTAGCCCAACATCTTATTTCTTAGTTGTTTAGTGCTTAGTTTATGCAACTAAATTTCTTCTTTCTTACAACTTGAGAGGAGAGCTTATTTTATTCTGTTGACAGATTACATGATAAATTGCGCATGGTTGAAAGTAGACGTGGTCACGTGGGGCTTCATTTGCTGGCCTTTTCAGATCTGCCCTTTATCTTGCAACTATATCGAGGATGAGAGTGCAGTATGAAGCTATGAAGTATGAGAGAGAACGCAATGGAGGCTTTCTGTCTCCCTTTGGATACTCAGCAGCAACTGTTGAAGCCGCAGTTGAGAGTGTTTCTTGATGGAGGTATGAGTTCATCAGTATTCTTTGAGTATATGCTAGCAACATCAATTTATCTTTCAGTGTACTTGTTGATTAGATGAGAGATTGTCCTAATGTGCGCCTTAATTATCAGTATTTTATACGAGTAATGTTAGAGTTGATTATGCACTGGTATTGGCTCATTGCATTGAAGAGCCAAAAGTACAAGGACACGATGTTTCCCATAAGAGTATGGAATGGAAAGGCTATCTGATTCAGGTATTGCACCAAACAGCTTTAATTCATTTTTGCTTATACTAGTATGCAATACGTGCATTGCACGTGATGCATAACAAGATGAATGCCAATTAACCATTATCTCACAGAACTTAGAATATTGTCCATTGAGAAGGAACCTAATCAACCATATATATGGTGCGCATGATAAAAGTGACTGCACAATCAAGAAGAGGTAAGTTGATCTTAACTGCAAATAATTAATATTCAGCATCACATTACAAACCAGGAAAGTATTCAATTAGCATGGCAATATACATATAATGAGAGTAGAAAAGAGTCAACATGATAGCTTGCGAACATAGCTTTATTGTTGAAAGCCAATAATTAAAAATAAATAATATTTCTTACATACAACAAGAAGCTAATGTATTTCCAGCAATATACAAGTTTTCTGGAAGAAGCATCCCTTTATGCATACATAAGATCACATATTCGCATTACCGGAAATATAGTCCCTCAAAGAAGGCACTTGAATTCCTGCAAACCCAAAAAGCTATGTATTGTTTTTTGGAAGATAAAGTATAGTTACAATAATAAGTACAAATAAAAGTGAAGCAAAATTATACAGTACACTGTCAAAGTTGTACCTCCATTTTTAAAGGTGAGGTTGTTGGTGCATATTTTTCCACGACTTTTCCATCTTTGTCCTCAAAGAACTTATTGAAAAGCCACTTGATGCCATCGCCCAAAAAACCTCCTTTCTTTAATTTCAAGAACTTATAAAGAGTAGTACTGTAGTAGTCTCCTTTCCATTCACTTCAACCTACAAAAAACAATGAGTCAGTCACATGTAGTTACATGAAATTTTCTTCTTGAACGATAGCAACATAGTGAAAATCTCAGTTATATATTTACTAAGTGCAAGGGAGATCTATAACAAAGACAAAATTTAAAGCTGATAATCCCGTCGTGTGAAAATTGACACTAGATTTTCTTTTTTCAATCACGCTATCTATCGAAAACCAAATCTAGTTAGTTTGAAAATATTCGCATTAGAACATCTTTGCAACCTTTATTGGATTTCATTTGAATCATCTTTCTTGATGAAACATAATGATGTACATATAAGAATAAATTTGTAACAATAACAGCTATCTACAAAGCAAATTAGAGAGCTAAGAGCGTAAGAAAGTTTTTCTTAAAGAAATGCGGAAAATAACAACAGTAACTTGTACATGCATCACAGACCAACTTTTGAATTCTCTTAACTACCATATAATAATCGTAATAATGATAAATAGAGCAGAACGGAGCAGCAATATATTATTTAAGAAAAAAACATATATAGTTTCTGGCATCAATGGAGTTGTTTGAACAGTTTTACCTGAAGGGAAAATAGCCCCAGACAAAGAGCAGAACTGAATACAAGGATCAAAACCATTTTTGTAATGGATGTCTAATCTCTCTAAACTTCTATATTATAAAATCACGACCATTATAGTCCAAGCCTTTTCCCGTCAGCTGTCAACTATATGAAGAAAACTCATCACAGAAGGATAAAATCGAATATGGTTTCCATTGTGTTTACAGAAAAGGCTAAGAAGATTTTATCCTTTGGGAAGTTACTGAGACTTTTGTTTACCTGTCAAGTTAAATTAGGCCATCTAGAGATAAACTGATACCAAGAAAATCTAAGCAAGCGATATGAAACCCATCCGCCTTCAAATTTTAATTTTAGCTACATAAGCGCGTTGGACGAGTTTCTGTCCATGGTAACCTATAGAGCATGCTAATATCTGAACTACATCTTTCTCATGAATGTAGAATCTCAATAAGCACAAGTATCATCCCCCCTGGTTCTCAATTACTATACATTTCTAGAAGAGCATATTCACAGTTTTAAGTATGCATTGAAGCATAAATCGACAACCAACTTGATTTTTTATGAAATGATGTAAGTAATTGTTTTACAAGAATCAGCTCAGAATGATCTGCAGGGGATTAAGAATTTGAGATGAAATCCCAGACATTTGATTGATATCCCGCAAGCCAAATTGTCAAGGGATATTGGGCCTTGATCCTGGTCTAAAGTCTTGAAGTGCCCAAATCAGTATCTTGAAGCACAAATATCAAGCCGAATCAAAATGGGAGTAATTAATGGTTCCATAACTGAAAGAATTTTAGAAATTGCATGTTTGTGTCAGTGTTTGAAAAAGCTTTCTGAAGTGTGTCCTAAGGCCTTGCTTCAAGCATTTTGAAGGTTAATCGCAGTGAAGTACAAAAAGGAAGTGATTTGTCCTATAAACATACATTTAAGCACTTCGTAGGCCATGAAATCTTAGGATTCAGACGCTTTTTTTCAACTCAAAAGTTTTTCAACAATTTAAATGAGAGATGATCGCTTTTTTATTTGGTAAATACAATCATGATTAAGAAACTAAAGATTGTCTCTTAGCGTGTGGGCATGTTTAGGACTGTGAAAAAAAAAACCAGAGATGTGAGTCCCTAGAAAAATTTGAAATCCTCAAAAGAACATGAAACATATGACAACTTGCATATAACAGAATGGGGAAGAACTTCATGACTCGCTTCATTCTTAAGAACATCGAGAAGATTTTATGTCTTACTAAACTACTGATTTAAGGCTGTGTTTGGCAAATGGTTAAGGAAGAGGGATTAAGGAGAAGGGTTAACTTAGTTAATCCATTGTGAAGGGTTAAAAATATTCTAATTCCGTTTGGATGCGCTAGTTTAGACAAGGGGTTAAGACTTTTGTGTTTGGCAAATAAAGAAGGGATAAGGAGATTAATCTCATTAATTTTTTAAAAAATACCACTTTCGCCCTTTCTGAAAATTTATAACTAATTGCCTCATTAATATTTATTTCGTGTTGTTTATCTTCTGATCAATTTCAAAGATTTAGTGCGCTAATATGTAATTCAGTTGAGACACGTGGGATAAATTTTTTTTTTTGAAATAACGCTAAAATGACAATTTGGTATTATTCAATAAATGATTGTTCAGAAGGTAAATTAAAATAAATTATCATTTCACTTTATTTCAGCTACTAAAGAGAGATAATGAGCTAACAAAATATTATATGGCTTCTCCTCTATCAATAAACCTGGCAAAAAAAATGATTATAAGTTTTGCTCATATAAAATTATAAAATTTGCTCATATAAAGATAGTAAAAAGATATAATTCAACCGCCTTATGCTTCAATATTCGACAACTACATATTTCAATTATTCCAAAGCTGTAAAGCAATCCTGTTGCGAAGCTGCTCACCCCTTAAACTTTCATCTGCACCAACCATGTATTGGGGGTCTTCTTCCTCCTCCACCTCATCTTCATCCTCATTCATCTCTAATCCATTAAGCATATTAAAGTATTTATCATTTCCCTGATGCCTTGCAATAAAATTATGAAGAACACAACAAGCTACAACGATTTTGACTTGAGTTTTATAAGGAAATGGAGCAGCAACTTTCAAAATTTTGAATCTTTGCTTTAAAATTCCCCATGCTTTTTCCACTGCATTACGTAGTTGTGCATGTCTATGATTATATTTGTCTTTAGTATCTCGATAGGCTCTGGTGGTCCTGTTTGCAAAATCTCCAAGATGATAACGTGATCCACGATATGGGGCGATAAATTTTGAAGTATTAGCATATCCTGAGTCAACTAAGTAAAAGTGACCTGCATATTTAAAACAATATGAATTTAGATCTAATTGATTTAAAAAAAGAATATGAAAAAATGTAAAAATTTACCTTCAGGAACATTAAATTTACCATCTTCCAGTGTTGCACGAAGTACTGACATATCAGATGCTGATCCCTCCCATCCAGCAGCCACATAAAGAAAAGTATGATCAAAGGAGCACGCTGCCATTACATTTTGAGATATGAAATTCTTTCGATTACGATACCTGTTGTGTTTTTTTTCTTCATAATTACAGGAATATGAGATCCATCAATTGCTCCCAAAGCTCTCTGTAAAAATAAAAGAAATATAAAGTTCTAATGTATAGATACCTACACACATACACATTTAAAAAGATTTCATAAAAGATATGTTGAGAGCTCTATCTTGAAGTATGTGAAGAAATTGGGATTCTCTCGAATCTTAGGATGAACGTCTACGTCAGCCGTTGGAAGCTGGATATAATCTTGTTTCAAAGATAAAATAGCATTAAGCACGTTATTATAATGCCTGCTAATAGTCTCTCCTGAATGTTGAAATATCTCAGCTAATACTCGATTTGAAAGGGCATGCGAAATTCCGTAGAGAAATATACAAAGTTGTTCATTGCAGCTTAAATATCTAGTTGGCCTTAAAGCATTCTTCTCAATTAGAACATTTTTAAGCAAAAGAATTGCCTCAGAACTCATTCGAAAACAAGAATATGAACGATCAGGATGTCCAGCCAACATATCTTCTACAAGCATATGACCAGAGAATGGTCTAGTTCGACATGGTCGAGGAACCTGCTTCATCACATTTGATTGATGAATGATGCTCGTAATCATCTCGTTCCACATGTACTCATCACCATCTTCATCATTCAAAAGC